ACTAATATCTATTATTTAAAAATAATTCTTATATATTATTTGCTAATAAGTTTAGAGTTTATTACTTACTATAAAGATAGTATTTATTATTTAGAAATAGTTTTCATATACGCATACTATTTGCTAACAAGTTTAGAGTTTATTATTTATCAAAAAAAATATTATAATATGCTTAGTTATATATTCTACTACTTTTGTAAAAAAAATACTTTTGTTTAAAAAAAAAAACAAGATCTATATTCTTCACTATTACCTACTTGCTTTTTCAACAAAATTTTTTAAAAAAATAAGCAAAACAGCTTATCTTTGTTAAAAAATTAATATTGTTTGCTTCTGCCTATTTCAAACAACCTGATAGTTTGCAATCACATGCTTTGTTTATCAATAACATAATAATACTTTATATAAAGATAAGATTTTCTCTTATAAAACACAACAATATATACTATTGGCTAATAAATATAATATTTTGTTATGTGATAACATTCTTGGTTAAAAAATTATTCAAAAAAAGTCATATAGTCAAAAAGAAAATTTTAAATATTAAAGCAAAGCTTTACAGTAAAAATATGCAATAGTTGTATTTGTTATACAATTTTTATTTTACTTATCTTGCATGGGTTATAATAATACCCTTATTTTTTTCAGGGTTTTTTTATTTGTTTTTTTATTTGTTACATCCCCTTTTTCTTCTTTTCACTCCCTTATTAGTTATAGTATCATTTTCTGCAGTCTAAGTAAAAGTATATTGTAAGTAGCTAAAAACTGGTTGGCTATATTCTTAAGTGTGCTACATCACATATGAAATATGGAGCACAAAGTCACAGTGCAATAACCCTCTTGGACATCTGGAGTGAAAGTCTAATTAGTTTATTAAATAGCTATATTTTGTTGTATATGCGTTAAAAATTTAATAAAGTTAGTACGAGGTTATCAAAGGAAAAATATATATATATATATAATTTTTTGAAAATAAAAGCCGGGTTGCCGGGTCACTTTTAAAATTTTTTATGTTATGAGTACCTAAAAATAATTATCAATTTTGACTAAAATTTTCATATTTGTGTTACCCATCCTTGGTCGCGTTACAGGAGATAAATATTTTTGGGAGGGTCCCATCAATACGCGTAATACTGTAATAACCTTTCCAACAGAAAAATTCTTTGTGGAAACTATGAATTTATAACCCAAATGACTTGTCAAATCCTGATTATCTACGATTAGTGCTCCTTTCAAGAGTTTATGAAATTGTTAAGACACCTTTACAAACGATCATAAACTTTCAACAAAACTTTTAATAAAATTTTATTAAAAAGAGATTTGCATGAACTTTTTCTTTCAAGATTAGAGGAGCATATAACAAGATTGCACATTTAATTAAAGAAGGAGAAAAAGATTGCCTGACCAACAGAAATTTTGTCGCGTATATTTTAGATATATGCTTAAATCATGAGCGTGCTTAGGCCTAAATTAAAAAACAAACCTCGAAAAATCTGTAAGTATATCTTCTAATAATAAAGCTCCTTTCCTTAGATTGCCTTTGTGAGATCATCTAGACTGTAGATGCTGGTGAAATTAATTTCACCAATTTCACCAATAGTGGTGAAATTATTTCACCACATTTCACCAGCATCTATAATCTAGACTACTTGGTTTGATGCGGTGAAAGGGTGTTATCGTTAGAAAACAGTATGATGGTGATTGTGGACGTTTCATATTGAAGGGTAGTTTGTTCCGTCTCCACAAAGAATAACTATCTTTGTGAGGTCTGCCTGGTTATACTACAAACTTTTTATAAAGGTTGACTGCGGTTCATTTTACTCTGAAGATATCTCGTTCATTTCTGCAAAGGAAACACGATCTATAGAGTTTCTTCAAAAGATCTACTGATTCCAAAGGGGAATCAGTTATACACTTTTTTATATGAAAAACTTGCGTTTGTTATATTATTAATAATATATTACTACTTAATAAATACTGTTATTAATAATTTTTCATACATATTATACTTAGGACGATAACGATAGTAATGAAAAACACTAATAAAAGGGTTGGTATATAATTTAGATAAATTTGTTTATAAAAAGAAATTATTGCTTGATGGATGGCCTTACTATTAATTTTAATAAATTTTTTAGGTAAAAATAAGTAATGAAAACAATAAGGATTCCGACAACGATTCGGTAACAGAAATAACATTACTTATTTGTTTTACTCATGTTTAAATAACTAATTGATATGCATATACAGTATAGTGTATGTTATTTTTTTTTTCAGATTTTAGAAAACTTGAATGAATATCTAAGTTTATAAGAAATGTTTTACTTTGAAAGAAAATGAAGCAGGCAAAAACGTGCGGAGTCACTTTTTTTGAATAATATTATCGAAGTGGCTAAAATTAAAGAGCAATTAAACCAAAGTTAAACGGATAACAACTCAGTTGGCTAAATAAAATCATGGGAAAAAAAATTTCAAAAAAAACGCCAAAATTTATAAATTTTCGTAACAATTCACCGAAGAAAACTGCAACCGTATAAATGTTCCTAGTTTAGTTAGGAAATCTTTTGTGAACAGTTGCTTTGATTTATTTAGACATGAAGGCCACGATTTGCTCAAGGTATTATGAAACGTTTGAGTTATCTGTACGTATTTGAGATTACATTTTTTTATAATAAATAGTTAATATTATTATCAAATAGTTCTGTTGAATGGAAGCTCCCACCAAATCATCTGATTTGGAAAGAACATACCGTTATTTATATTTTTAATAGAATTTTTCGAATGCACCAAGACGTTTTAGAATGGCGTTGGGTATGTATTTGAATAAATATCCAATTAATGGAATTATTTCTCTATTTGTTAATCAGGATTGAGTGTCAAACACCTAATACTGAATCACAGGAATTCGATGGAATAATTAGTCTCCAAAATAAAAAAAGGAAGATAAATTTATTATGTTTATGGAATTTTCAAAAGGCCGAAATGCTCCAGAAAATAAAGTGGGCGATCAAATTAAACTTGGTACAAAATGCTAGGGCTTTAATAAATAAGCACTCTGAAGAGTTTCTATGTGATAATTTGAGAGTATATAGAGTCCAATGTATTAGTAAGTATCATTACAGGAAAAAACACAAAAATAGGTTTGTGAATTTTCTTTTTAGACGGAGTTGAGTAATTCGAATTCGTTATATGATGAGACCACTACCTTTGGTATATTTATCTGAAGAATTTGGTTCTGTTAAAATTCCAATTACTAGGGTTCCAACATCCAATCTGGATAATCGTTCAACCGAATCGAAAAAAAGTAAACCGGATCATAATTTGACAAACCGGTTTAGTATAACACAAACGGGTCACCCGTTTGGTAAACGGTCACTTGCTAAAAAACGGAACATCCGAGTTCTTTTATTGAAAACATTATGCCGATACTGCAACGATATTTCTATAGTTAATCGGATATCCGGATCATTCGATTAGGGTTATCCGATTACAATTGAGTAACCCGTTTTTAATCTGATAATCGGGTCGAGTTTCGGGTAATCGGTTACCAACCGGTTTTCACCAGAGGGGCCACGGTTGGAGATTTTCAAACCGGTTTGGAACCTTACCAATTGGAGAAATGATTTGCGTACATCAGTTGCGTGTAACGTCGCGTACATCAATTTTTTCGATTGGTCAATATTAAAGTCGACTAATAAATGTGGCAGATCATAATGAAATCGGATTGAAATGAAACTGGGGGACCTTTCTTGCTTATCTTTAAAGTTTATAAAACCCACTTATACTCTTTTATTAATAAAACTAACTCTAAACCCTAACTCTAACTCTAACCCTAACCCTAAAAAATGTCCCCCAAAAAATTTTAAATTTTCCTAAAAAAATAGAAAAATTTCATTTTAATCCGATTTCATTTTAATCTGCCACAATAAATGAGTATGCTTGAGCAATCTTTTGATTACTCTATCAACGTTAAATTTTAGCAAATCAGAGCAGCTCTATGAAAAAAATTAGTGGTCGCTGCGTCAGGTTTTTTTTTGACCTAACGCTAAGTGATAATCACGATCAATTTTCTCGACCAATCAAATCAATATGTAACCTCATTTGAGAACGACCTTAATAAATATTCTTTTTAATGTACGTGAATATTAAAAGTGAGTCCCGAAGGTTAGAACAATTACTAAGATTAAATTTGTTCCTCCAAGCCTTTTTTTTCTTAAAATAATATATTCAATTCGTCTTATTGAAATGATCCGAATGATATAAAAATTTATTTAAAAGGATCAATGAACTTTTTTATATAATATAATATCTAAACAATCTAGCAATATTCGAAAGCACAATAAAATAAATGCTTTCTTTACAACAAATCCTATTCTAGTAGAAGCATTACCATTGTCGAAAAGACTAATTACAATACCATAATTTGTTGAAAAAACAACACATTATGTACTGTACAAAAAAATAAGGATATTTATTCTATTTATTGCGTATTTAACGCAAAATTGTAACTATTAATTGTTTTCTTGATGCATAAAATAAATATTGATATGCGAATATAAACTTTTTACTTTTTTTGCGCACGCATAAAACTGATTGTGAAATTACAAATGGCTCGTTGTTCCAAATAATATAAATCGAGAATGACGCGAAACATTTGATGGTTTAATTATTAAATTACTATCAAAAATCGTATAAAAGAATTTATACTTAATCTGATAAAGGATTATTTGTGGTACTTATGCTTAAACCGACTTACGCTGAAATTTTGCTTTTTTTTTTTTTTTTTTGGTTGGTTTTTTTTTTTTTTGTTTTATGTTTTTTTTTTAGAGTTCATGGTTAATATTGCTAATAAAGAGACTAAGTGAATTTCAGCAGATATATACCATATAATTAAATGGGGACCCCAAATTTCAACATAAGCCGATTTCAGTATAAGCTGCCATGACAATTTGACTAAGAACAAAAAAAAAGTGAATATGTCTTAAAATGAATAATTTCATTTATGCCAATTTTTTCCCATATACCCTCATGCTATTCCAATAGGTTTGAAAGAAATTGACCTCCTCTTTAATGTTTAAAAGCTTTCTATCATACTCATCTTCATTAACCTTAATGTAAGGTGCCAAATAAATTTTAATCTGTTTCAAAACCATTAACAAGTTTTTTAAAGTCATTTCACCAATAGGATTATCCCAATTACCAATCGGGTAAACTTGATTCTCAGTAGTTATAGAGGTTAGTTGAGAATTGGAATGGAGTAAAGGTTCTAGACTTTCTGTTATGAGAGGATTTTTTCCTATTGATTTATAATATGATCGAACTACATTGATTGAAGTGGATAGAATTTAAATATATAAATTAATTTTTCAATGCCATTTATATGTTGTGAGTATAAAGCTCCAATAGTTTTCAACTCGAATTTATGAAATTTATGAAATTCGAATACAGTCAGACCCCCCTAAATGCTACCCCCTAAATGCAACACCTCTTTAAATGCACGTCTTCTTTTGGGCCCAACTAATATTATATCTATAGATTTTTACCTCCCTAAATGCAATACCTCTCTAAATGCACGTGCTAGAGCTGGTCCCGACGACGTGCATTTAGGGAGGTCTGACTGTATTCGATTATAAATAAGTAATCGCATAATTTTAAAAATTTATTCATAATAAGCTTATGTATTTGAATTCTGCTTATTAAAAAATTGAATATTTCGATTTGATAATAAGAACTTCATTTTTATAAAGTTTGATATAGAAAATTACCTGAAGACATAAATTCTTGTGTTTCTATTCCTTCGTTACCACCTCGAACATCTACATCCATAATTTCCAAATATCCATCAATTTTTAAAATTCTTGTCAATTCATTTATTATATCATTAAATTTATTATCAGGTATTTCAGAAGCCATAAATCGCACATATATAAAATCAAATGTTTCATCCTCGAATGGAAGTCTGGATAAAATGTCACAGTATTGAAGTGAAACGCTTGATGGTACCGGTGGAGTGAGGTTACGAAGTACTGAAGTGGGTCTTTCGACTCCAAAAAATGATGAGTTTGGATACTGTGATGATAAATCTATGAGCCAAGTAGCTGTCCCACAACTTTATTTCAAATTTTTAAAAAATATTAAATATAAAATTTTTTTAAACATGTAAATAGGAATGTTTTAAAATATTTAAAATGCTAAAAATATATATAATTTATATATATTTAATTTAATTTACCCAAAATCTAAGACCTTTGCTCCAGTTTCTAATTTTTCGTTAACTGGTGCCGAAAAGTTACTTTGCCATATGTATTTAAATATATGATGTTGTAAAGCCAATCTGTCCCCTCCGTAGTCTTTTTTTGGAAACGGGAATTTCTCATCATCAATTATTGTTGTTGAAATTGTATTGACCACATTATCTTTTGAAATGATAATTTTCACATCTTTTGTGCTTATGTTTTTAGAAGTATTACATCCCATGTTGTTTTAGCTGAAATGTTAATGAAAAGTTTAGAGAAAATATTTTTTTTTCTAGTTATGGTTTTTTTTAAGATGATATAGGAAAAAACAAATCCACGAATTTTCTATCTAACTAGTCATACACAAATATTGTGCTACTGTTACTATTTTATCGCGTATCTTTATCATCATCTATATATTGTTTCACAATCTTAATTCCATTGTTTCTTTAACATTTGAGTTTTTGTACATATGCATACATATTTAATCTACCTTTCACAATGAATAATCTTAAGATACAAAATTACTTAATTAAATTCACTTAGTGGTCACAATAGATATTCGTGTAAGAATGGAAATCTTTTGTAGATATAAACTAGATTTTTATGGAAATAGCATCTCAAAAATGCGTGTACATTATTACAGCCGGAAAATTATGTGATACCCGGAATTACCATTCAGAATACAAAATAAAGTTATTAACAAAGCAATACCTTTTTAACATATCGATATCATAAAGTAATCCCTTTTTTAGTTAGACTTGATAATTTGTTTTTTTAGAAGCTTTTCTCTTTGTGCACACCTAGTGTTCTAAATGGGGTAGGATTGGGCCGGATAGCGTTCAATCTTGATCATATATTTTCATCTGAATAATATCACCTTCATATGCTGCTACGTAGCAAATGAGGATATTAGAAATTTTGTATGATGTAATGATTTGGGTGTCAATGATTGTGTAATCTCGTGGCAAAATATTAAGGCAGAAAAAAAAAATACACATGTTAGCAATAAGAAAAGGTCTACAGGTTTTATATGACGACCCGTGCTTTTTTTTGAAAACTTATTCGAAAGATTATAGATTAAAATCATGTGATTTAGTATATACCCGTTGGTACTATCAAGTAGGAGAGCTCAGACAATTTATAATGCCGAGTTTAAATCAGGTATTAAACACAGATATTTAAAAGTGAATAATCAAATCATTGAATTAGAAGACCGTTAACTGAATCAAGAATGATACATAATTCAATTTGATTGAGTTTAATTTGTTACAATAAATATTATAATTTAATGCTAAGTTTGAATTACTGTTTAAAAATATAAATTTTTATTAAAAATAATTCATTATCACCAAGCCTAATTCTAAATCCTAGCCTAATTTTTTTTTTAAAAAAAATCTCATTAAGATAGATTCAAATTTAGCACCAGCAGTAACAATAATAAATAAAAAGTACTAAATATACTAAATATCTATAAAACACAAAATACAGTAAATAATGAATTTTAATTATGTATTAAACAAGTTTAATCTAGTACTTACCTTCAGGAACCTCAACGATATCAAGTGGTTTGCTTACGAAATCTGAAAATAGATTGATATAATTTATATAGGTTAAAAATTGATTCAGGAATTTTGTTATAGGTATAAATATCTTAATATACACTTTAAACATCTTTTGAAAATGCAAATTAAAATATTACCTGCATTTATTGGTTTAGGAAGTCTTTGAAAATTTAAACGCTTGCTTGTATAGATATTACGTGTTTGATAATTGAGTCGTATTGAATTAGATTGGTATGCTGGTAATTTTTTTGTTGAATTTTCAATTGCTTCAACTTGCTTATATAATTCAGTTTCTTCCTTATTTAGATCCGTTCCATATTGTTCTAGCACATCAGACAATTCTTTAGCAGTTGGTCGTTTTTGAGGTTCAGCATTTAAACATCTATTCATCAAGTTCAAGAGTAACTACGACCATTACAAATTTGAATTGCCAAATCTTCATTGAATGGGACGTTATGATATGGTGGATATCCGGTAAAAACTTCTGACATGATTATTCCAAAAGAATAAATATCTGATTTCTATGTATATTTTTCTCCATATAACACCTCTGGAGCTACATAAGGGAGTACACCAAAAACCTCTTTAGTATTTGAGTCCTGAGATATTGGCTTACATAAACCAAAATCAGTAATATAAGTATCAACCATATTTCCATTAACAATATTTCCTGAATGAAAATCTTTATGTATTACTCCTGCTGCATGAATTCCGCTAAGCCCTGAAGCTATATATTCTAAGTTAGCTATTTTACTTTTCCAGGGATGTTAATCGGTCCCGCAGTAATTGTCAGCCGACTTTGAGCAAGATTTATAAAAAATTGACATTTTTAACCGG